CATATCTTGCAATCCCAGTCCCGTGGTCCCTTGGCCTAGAATGCCCTTCTCTCCTCCTCCACATCTTCTTTCCCTTACCCCACTTCCCTACTTGTCCTGCCCCTCAGGCACCATTGTCCTTTACCTGGCAAACTCCTGCTCCTCCTGGAAGGTCCCCCAGAGCTCCATGATACCACCCTCCTCCCACAGACAGCTGGTTTGGATGGCCATTACCGTGGCCATCCTGTCAGTGAGCCTCCATGCTGTCTGGTACTTGTCCATTGATGTGTCTCTCTCAGGAGCCTGTGAGATCCTTGAATTGTTATCTTGAATTAATTATTATTAATGTCTTATTCATGTTTCCTTAGTATCTAACTCAGGACCTGGCACATAGATATTGTACTCAATACCTGAGTTTATTTCACTTGAATTCGCTTTAAACTTAAATTTTATCATGTTAAACTTAGTTTAATAAAAAGAAATTACCATGGTTTGTATATGAGGAAATGCAAATTGTTCTTAAAACTGGAAAAACTCAGAGAAGAAAAACATTTTTTTCAGTGCTAAAATATCTTGAGGGGAAACATGCTCTTCTGTACCCTTCCCCAGTATCAAACATTTATAATCTTTATAACATGAGGTTCTGAAGGCAAAGGTCTTGTCATCTTCCTCTTTGTGTATTCAGCAGGTCACAGAGTGCCTGGCTCATAATATACATTCAATAAATGAGTTAAACTGAATTAAAGGAGAAAGAGAATGTAGAAGATCAGAGGCAAAATAAGAAGCTGGGACAGCAGCAAAGCAGAGTGAACAGGGAAAAAAAGACCTCATTTTCAGTTGTACTTTCCCTCATTCCTTTCCAGTATTTTATGGCAGTTCCCTGGCACAGCTCCCACTCTGCAGCGAGCCAGGGAAAGGAGATGGCAGAATGATGTTGCCTGTGGGACTTTGCCTTGCTCTTTGATTCTGCTGCCGTGGGGCAGGTGCATTTTCTCAATTACACACAAGGGTGGCAGGTCATTTCTAGCCACCCTAGCCCCACCTGGCAAATGAAGCCTTAATTTTCAACAGACAGGCATTTCAGAGCAAAGTCAGGAGGCTCCCAGGTAAACGGGAAAACAGATGTTTTTGCCAGATGTGAACTGGCTGGTGAGGGATGGTGGTTGTGGTCGCTGAGGGATACCCAGAATTCAACAACCTGCTAGCCAGCCACAACTGGTGAGGTCCAGGGTCTCAGGTAGATGAAGTGGCACACTTAGGGCTTTCTGAGACCCAGTTCTTGGAACATTTCCACAGTCTGTCTGTCTCTAACCCTTTTCCCTCATTTGCAAGAGGAAATGATACTGACTCAGGGAATTTCTGACCATCAAATGATGCCTGGCACATAGGAAGCACTCAGTACAGAGTCACCATCATACATCTCACTGTTTTGCTGCTTCAGGGACTTCATCTGTTAACCAGGGAAAGCAAGACTTATTTTACACCATGACACTGAGGATCCAGTGACATGGAAACCGTAGGCTCTGAGCAAAAGATGTGGGGATTTTTATGTGAATTTTATGCCAATTTCCTCTATTCTGTGCTTTCCAGCTATGTTCTTCTTCTTTTTTTCTTTTTTTAACACAAGTAAAAACCATTTAACCCAATGTACTAAAGCTAAACCAAGCTCATCGCAGAATCAACAGATCAGGTTGCCAAATAGGCAGCTAGAGGAAATCCCATGGACGGTGTATCTTGATTTCTGAGAGAGAGTGATAAAAGTCTCTCAAAAAATGCTTGTAGACATGATGAAGACATGCAGACTGGACAACACCATGACTGCCTGAACAGTCGCACACCAAAAGGGTTAACATCAAGAAAGAGAGACTTTTCCTATTATGGAGGTAGCGATCTGGAATATGGCCCTATCTGAATGAAGATGGCTTTTTAAAATTAATCATTTGAATTAAGACAGAAACTAACTTAGTGAATTTGGAAATAACCCAAAACTGGAACAGAGCAGAAACAGCAATATTTCAACAGGACAAAAAAATGGGCCAAAATCGTCGCACTATTACAGTAAAAATTTAAATGCCTGTACTAGGGTTAAAAAAAAAGAAGAAAAAGAAGAACTTAGCTGGGAAGCACAGAATAGAGGAAAACAACAAAACGTTCATACAAAAATAAAGAAAAAACTAAACTTAAAAAATAAATCAATGTGAATCATTGGTGCAATGTGGCTGCCAAAGCTAAGGCAATCTTAGGCTGCATTAATAAAATAACAATGCCCAGAAAAAAAGAACAAATTGTTTCAATATGTTCTAATATCTATGCAAACTGGAGTCTTTCTAGAGAGAGAGTAACCACAATAATGAAGTTTGGAAGGCCATGTGGTTTGAGAAACAGGTGAATAAAATGGAGAAAAAAAGATGAAAAAACTGGTCAAGTGACATTGAGAAAAAGGATATTTAGAAGGTACTTAGCTTTTTTGTTTTTTAGACGGTTGCTCTGTTGCCCAGGTTCGAGTGCATTGGTGCAATCTTGGCTCACTGCAACCTCTGCCTCCCCAGTTCAAGTTATTATCCTACCTCAGCCTTCCAAGGAGCTGGGATTACAGGTGCATGCCACCAGGCCCAGCTAAGTTTTGTATTTCTAGTAGAGATGGAGTTTCACCATGTTGGCCAGGCTGGTCTTGAACTCCTGAACTCAAGTAATCTACCTACCTCGGCCTCCCAAAGTGTTGGGATTGCAGGCATGAGCCACCATGTCCAGCCAGTACTTAACTATTTATCTTTAAATGAAAGGAATGAGAAGCTTTTGGTGGGAAAGTCCTTAGACATATTCTGTGTAGGACTGTAGGACTGAACACTAAAAGGAGACTTTTAAAGTAGACTTTAGGCCAGGTGTGGTGGCTCACGCCTGTAATCCCAGCACTTTGGGAGGCCAAGGAAGGCGGATCACAAGGTCAGGAGATCGAGACCATCCTGGCTAACACAGTAAAACCCCATCTCTAACAACAACAACAAAAAATTAGTGGGGCATGGTGGTGGGCACCTGCAATCCCAGCTACTTGGGAGGCTGAGGCAGGAGAATCATTTGAACCCAGGAGGCAGAGGTTGCAGTGAGCTGAGATCACACCACTGCACTCCAGCCTGGGTGACAGAGCAAGACTCCGTCTCAAAAAAAAAAGACCTTAAAGGAAATATATTTTAGTTAGATCATAGGAAGGACTCATGGTCATAAGATGGCTGCCACAGCTCCTGGAACTTTTGAAACTGCCCCTATAAACTTTATAAAATTAACCAGGGAAGAAGGGAAGGAAAGAAATGAAAATAAACCAAGTTCACAGCACATTCAGCAGTAATCGTGAGATCCACTTGTTCTCTGACCTGCTTCCTCCATAGTTACTTTGTGCCTATTGCCTCAGAATCGCATAGACCCTGTTAAAAGATTATAGTGCCCCTTAACTGCTCTATAGATAACAACCTGAACATTATGAAACATTATGTTTTCCCTTTGAGATGCTCCTTCAGTTACTGCATACTGATGAAACTACTGACTCAGCTGGTTTGAAGGACCACATGAGGAGCTGACTCACCAAAGAAGGTAGTTTCCGCATCCTGATGATGGAACTTTGTTCCATCCCCTTGGCCTGACCAATCAATGACCTCAATTTTTTAGCCTCTCACACTCCACAATCCCCTAAAAACTCTAGCCCAGAACTCCTCATACAGATGGATTTGAGGGTCTTCTCCCATCTCCTTACTTGGTGCCCTGCAATCATTAAATTCTTTCTCTGCTGCAAACCTGGCTGATGCAGTGTAATTGGTGTTACTACACAGTGGGCATAAGAACCTGTTTGTCCTGCAACACTCTGACTGTGGTCAAAGACACAATCAAAGACAAGAAGTGGGGGAAGAGTAACACCAGAAAGACCCTCTCTCCTATTTGCTTCTTTTATCAGGAAGCAAAATATCTTGTCCAGGTGGTTACCTCTAGCTGTAAGGGAGACTGGGAAATTGAATGTCTGGCACAGGGGTAGCTGGGACTTACTTAAATCAATTATGATTAGGTCAAAAAGCCAAACGTTCTAAGAATAATTGAGTGGAAAATGGAAGGAGCTTGAGGGTCTTCGATGACATAATAAGTTGCTGAATTAAATTTCAAACAGCCAACTCTGTCTTCGAATTCCCCAATGATGCATAATATCTTTTGAAGGGGCCTGGCTCTGTTCAATAGTCCGAGTGACAGTTGTCCAGGATGGCACAGTGCCCTTCCTTAAATTCACACATTGTTAATCTTCACTGTAGGTTTATAAAAGGTTGTCCTCAGTAATCGAGGGACATAGTAACATAATTGCACACTATTGGAAGTGGACACCCTCTTAGCGATAATCTGGTAACAGAGACCCAGAGACTGGTCTCAAACCAGGAAGACGGGAAGATCTGTTCTCTTCAGTAATCATTCGATTATCAGGCATTAGCTTTCCCCTTGAGAACTCGCAAAGAGTCAGAGATGTACAGTCATTCCTCTAACTTTGAACGTTTACACAACTCAGGACACACTCCAGGAGGGAATTCAATGGTTCTCCTCTGGGTGGAGGTATTACTAGGTTCTAAAGCTGTGGCAGACAAGCAAGCTACCAACGGCGCTAAGTTCAAAGCTGCCCGAGGTCTCGCCCAGGGTTAAGTCAGGGGAAAGAAACGCCTGGAAGCCAACACGCCTTCTCCCCAGCCCCAAGTGTGCTAAAGGAGGATGCGGCAGATCCCTAAGTGGCTCGGGCTTGGGGCGAGCGCTCCGAGCCTGTGGCGGAGAGTCGCTCCACTCGGCGAGGATAGGCAAACCCCAAAACTTCAGGGAAGCCGTTCGGGGTAACTTCTCTGCACTCGTTTAAGGTCAGATGAAAGGAAAGGAAAGCCCTTCCGACGTCACCCCCAGCAGGCGCGCGGCAGCTGAGCCCCAGCGGGGGCGGGGTCCGCCGGGTGCCCCTCCGCCCGAGCCCTGTGCGCTTCCCGGTCCTCCTCCTCCGCGCGGTCACTGGCTGCATCTTCGCGGCCCCGGCACAATAGAGGCTCCGCCCTCCTTCCGCGCGAGCTCTCCGCGGCTCCCTCGCCCAGCCGCCCAGCCGCCACCGCCTCTGCCCGTCCCGTGCCCGGTACCCGTGCGCCCCGAGGCTCCCCGCCGCCCGTCCCGGCGCGCACCGCGGGCATCCGTCCGAACGCCTTCCTGTCACCTGAGCCCTCCTGCGGGCGACGCGCTCAGCTAGCCCCTGCCCGCCTCCACCTTCCCCGTCACCCCCTCTTCCCTGCGTCCCGCTCTCCCCTGGGGCTGCACAGTCGAGGGCTGCTCGCGTCCGGAAGGAGATGCCCAGAGTCTCTGGGACGCACCCTCCTGTCGCCCTCAGCTGCACCCAGCTTTAGAAGGCGCTCTGAGCAGCCACTCTCGGGCTCTAGCTAGGACACTCTCTCGCACAAATCCTTGCCCAGACCACCCGCCCCGGCCATTCTCTGCAGGGGCTGAGGACCCTCTCTCTCATCGCGTCCCCCATGGCCAAGCCTCTGCTACTAGTTCTTTACTTCTCTCTGATTGTGGCTCCGGGCTGGGTAGCCAGCATTGTCCCCACAGGGACAAGTGAGCCCCCAGATGCCCAGACAGTGGTGCCCACGGAGGATGAGACTCTGCAAAACGAGGCGGACAACCAGGAGAACGTTTTATCTCAGGTAGGATGCCGAGTGTCACGACCGCCCTTCTCGCCCTGGATGGTGATGAAAGCCAGAGCTGGTCCTTGCTGAAGGGTTTGGGGGCAGCTGTTTTTCCCTCCGTTACCAAATGGAAAAGGCATTTGATTTTCATGTATCAGAATATTTTCTTAATGGAGGTATATAGGTTCTCCTCTCAAAATCATGGGGTCTTTCAAGGTCATCAAATCAGGAGAAAGGAGAGGTGAAGTAGGGAAGATGCTGCTCAACTCCTTGAGAAGAAAGGAAAAGAGTTGTTTTGGTTTCAGGGTTGTGAAAAGTATCTCTTGTCTATGTGGCTGTTTGTCAGAATTGGAATGTGAAAACAGGCGGGTATGTTGACCAGGAGGCAGATGGCATATCCCATCGGGAGATATTTTATGGCAGAGGGTGTGACACGCAGGCAGAGGCATGGGGTGAAGTCAGAACAGCAACATATGTGATGAATGTGAGGTGACCCCCAAACAGAGAGATTGAGAACATGACCGCGTATATTGGGAGGGGAGGGTGGGAACGCAGATGCCGGCAACCAGGGCAGACTGTCAGTGGGGAGCCAAGTAACCCGTGATAGTGATGGGCTTTGCAACATGTCTGTTTACAAAGTACTTAAACTTGTTTTTTTTCTGACTCAATCTTCAAAACACCCCGATACCCATCTATAGATAAAGACTATAAAAGACAGAAGTAGAGCCAGGGCTACTGACAGTCTTCAGCCCAGATCCCATGTCTGTAAGGGACAATTCCCTCTGGAGTGTTTATTTCATGCTCTCCAGAGCCGTCATGATGACGTATGGTGGGTGTCACCAGGATCCTCAGAATGGGGATGTCTGCGAAAGAATCCTCCAGCACTACCTGTACCTCCACCTCCCCCAAACCCTAGGACTGGGCCTTTTCTCCTTCCTGTAGAGAGAATAATCAGCTGCACTTTGTGATTTATCAAACACTAGCCTCCTCACTCTTCCTTTAATAATCATACTAATATATGCCCTCTACCCACCCGTTACCTCACGCTGACCCCTAAATCGAAAAGACATAAAAATCTCTCACATTGGGGCTCTGGAACACTATCAACAAAAACTTTCCTGAAACTCGAGCCTCCTGAAAGGAATCCACCCAGGGTTCTCAGAGCAGGGTTATGTAGGAATCTAGGCAGAGTTTCAGAGAGCAGACAGCCACAATTTACTATCAGCCTGTAAAGAACAGCCGCTTAAGTCATCCTCAACTGTACCACCTTCTTCTACTGATCAATTCTGTATTTGACAACAGCCCTAAAGCAAATATTACTATTAGAAGAAACCCAACCTTCTCACGGAAAACATTACAAGCCTTCTTCCCCCCAAACAGCATCCCAAGGAACATTTCCACTCAAACACACTCAGTGCTTGCCTGACAACATCATTAGTCAAATGAAGGGAACCCTTCTGCCTGCCTAGAAAGGGAGCCCTGGCTTCGGGGATATAGGGCCTTTTGGAGAGGATTGGGAGAGAAGAGCCTTTTTCCAGCAAGTGCCCAGGGTAGGGGCTCCAGAAAGCCTACTGTTGCGTGTTTTCCTGGCCGGAGAGGCTGGCAGGGCAAGTGCCCAGAAGGAGTTGTTTAGCATTGCAAAAGCAGCAGGTGCTGCCAGTTTGCTTTCCTGGGTTTGGCCTGGGGTTTGGGTTCAAAAGCAAGAACTCTTAGACTGAGTAAACCTTACAGGTTTCTGGACATGTCTCTTTCCTCTCAATTCCCTTTCTCCACATCCAAACCATCCTTCAAGGCCCAGATTAAATGCCACTTCCTCCAAGAAGTCTTCCCTGGCTTCCAGTTGGAGCCACTCTTTGCTCCCACTGCCATTTCTCTCTGCCTCTTCAGGGCACTTGCAACTCTCTACTCCGTGTGATTGCTATTTCTATGCCTCCCTCACTGTAGGCTCCTTGTGAGCAGGCTCTCTGTCTGGCCTCTCTTTATCCTTCACAGCACCTCCCAGTCCCTAGGAGGCACTCCATAAATGTTGAATGAATGAACGAGAGAAGCCAGTAGTCTTCAAACCTGAATAACAACTTTTCAATCTCTCCAATTCCTTCTTTACCTTTTTACATTTAAACCTGGATTCTGACTTGGCGCAGTGTCTCATGCCTGTAACGCCAGCATTGTGGGAGGCCAAGGCAGGTGGATCAGTTGAGGTCAGGAGTTCAAGAGCAGCATGGCAATCATGGTGAAAATGAAAATACAAAATTAGCTGGGCATGGCAGCATGTGCCTATAATCCCAGGTGCTCAGGAGGCTGAGGCAGGAGAATCACTTGAACCTGGGAGGTGAGGTTATAGTAAGCCGAGATCATGCCACTGCACTCCAGCCTGGGCAACAAAAAGACACCTTGTCTCAAAAAAAAAAAGAAAAAAAGCCTAAACCTAAATTGTAGCAGAAGGCAAAGGCTATTGGATAAATGACAGGACTCATCTGTTTTTTCTGTTCAATAATGAAAGGCTAAGGCCCCATGAGAAAGGCACAGCTTTCCAAGACAAATGAAGACAGCTGAACTCTGAATGTCTTCAAGGAAATGTCAGAGTCAGCAAACTGCATCTCAGTGACCTATTGGCTCCATGGTTCAGAGTTGTCTGAGGCCTCTGGCTAGTGCAGGACATTTGACTAAGTAAATGGAGATCCTCTTTCTGGAGGCTGACTGACACCTGTGTTTGCATGCCTCCAACCCATTCTCTATGTGTCTAGTTGCTGGGGGACTATGACAAGGTCAAGGCTATGTCTGAGGGCTCGGACTGTCAGTGCAAGTGTGTGGTGAGACCCCTGGGCCGAGATGCTTGCCAAAGGATCAATGCGGGCGCTTCCAGGAAGGAAGACTTCTATACTGTGGAAACCATCACCTCGGGCTCGTCCTGCAAGTGTGCCTGTGTCGCACCCCCATCGGCTCTCAATCCCTGCGAGGGAGACTTCAGACTCCAGAAGCTGCGGGAGGCGGACAGCCAGGACTTGAAGGTAGGAGCTGGTATGGGGCAATGCCTTGGATGAGCGGGCACTTTTGAGACCCACAAGTCTGGCAGGGCTATCATTGAAGACTGTAAGGCCTTTGAAGAAGGTCAGGCCTGGTCCCTGGGGTGCTGTGTGTGGATCCAAGGGTGATGTCCTGGCAAACTGGGACTTTTTAGTTCTGGTATGTAAGGGAGATGTGCTGAAAGCAAAGTGTGCCTGCCCCTCCTTATGGAGCCAGAGAGGCTGGGCCTGAGAGCAGCTGCCAGGTCCGGCAGGCCAAAAGAACTCAGCGTTCTTCAGGAAAATTGCTGCCACGATTTATTGTTAGCCCAGCGAGCACCCCAAAGAAGCAAAAGATAAACTCTTGTAAGCCTTTGGTCCTTAGCGCAAGGGCTGGGTTGGCCCAGGGAAGGAGAGGCCTGGGGCCTGCTGTAGATTGGGTCTTCAAACTGTGGTCCTATCATGGTCCACAGGGTAGGGAAGCTCAGGCCCTACTTAAGCAGCCCCATGGGTTGGCTGAGGGCTTCTGACTCTGCACTTCCCCTTCCCTTGCACCCTGAGATAGTGGAACAAGCTGGGCTTCGGAGTCAGGCAGACCTGGGTTCAAATTATTGCTGTGTGATCCCACTGAAGTTATTTAATTTGTCTGCCCTCCAGCTCCTTGAATCACATGTGGGAATAATAACATCTAGTTGATGGGGTTATGAGAATTGATGAGATAACAACTAGTAAGTACTTGGCGCAACACCAGACATTCACTTAGACATGACCATGTAAATGAATGAATGAATGGGTGACCATGTAGAGTGCTGCTGGCACCTGGTACTCACTCAGTGACCGGTAGTCATTGGTGTCTTTTCAGCAGAGTAGTGCTTACCAATATCAGGAGTACCTCAGGATTCAGCCAGAGCCGTAGCTCTGCCATGAAACAACTTTCGGAACCTAATGCCACCCTCACCCAGTTGTAGGATTGGACTCTGGGGGGCTTCGGGAACACCATAAGGCAAAATTTCTTTTTTTTTCTTTTCTTTTTTTTTTTTTTTTTTTTT